CCTCTGAAGTATAGTTAAGAACTGTAGTTCTTCAGTAGTATTTATAGGAAGTGGAGTAACCACAGGCTGTAAGGTAGAGGATACACTGGCCACTTTAAAGCTCTTCTAACATCAAGAATGCCATCATAGGACACACACTTGGGAAACCACTGAGTGAACAGGAGGAGAAAGCTAACAGCAGTCAACCAACAGAGGCACATTGCTGAGGGGTAACCAGGTGTGGGGGGAGGGGCACCATCTCAGAGAAGGAAGGAGCAGCTACAAAATTTCTATATTGAAGAACAGGCTAGGGAGAAGAAAAAAATGTGAGTGCATTTCTAACCTACTACTACTGTGCTACAGTTTTCATTGCTAGCATGCAGCTGTTTTTAAAACACGGGAACTCTGAGGATAGACAGGGTTCACTTTCAAGGTGGTGAGTTCTGGATGGGTGGGTGAATGCCCATCTAGTGTGTATGAGGCCCTGGGTTCAACTGCCAATACTGCAAGCAAGCAAGCAAACAAATGCAACTTCCTTCCTACTGGGGTGGAATCAGGCTAGGGAGTTGCTATGTACTGAAGGGGCAGTGGGCAAATTACCAAGAACGCAGTAAACACAGAGGGGATCATTTATCGTCATAGATGGGAAAAGGTGTATGAGGTCTAGCAAGATTTACTTTTTGAACCAGGATCCTAAGGAAACAGAAAATCAACAATTCTTGTTGAACCAGTGTGTGGAGAAGGGTGAGTCAGAGTCATGGTTGTAAACAGCCCAGGTTCTGCCAAATACACTTCTAGCTGTGTACTTGGTAAAACAAAACAAAGCAAAGCAAAACAAAACAAAACAGGGCTAGAGAGATGGCTCAGTGGTTAAGAGCACTGGCTGCTCTTGCAAAAGATCTAAGTTCAAATCCCAGCACCCACATAGTGGCTAACAACCATCTGTAACTCCAGTTCCAGGGAATCCAACACCCTCTTCTGACCTCGGGCACTACGTGAAACGGGTGGACTTACTTACATAGAGGCATAACACTCATACAAAATCAATCAATCAGAAAAAAAAAAGTTACCCCTCCTTGAAAACCAAATAAAATGCCAAACCTGTTGCTAGACAGGTCTGCTAAATTTCTATTATCACAGTAGCATTCTTAATTTAACAGACAGATGTCTATTGCTTTGGGGAATATTAATAATTCTCATTCAAGTTTTTTCATCTTTCTATGTATATTCTAGGATAGGGGAGTAAGGGAAATATGAATATATAACTTATTTAAGAACTTGAGAGTGAGCCGGGTGTGGTGGTGCATACCCTTAATCCCAGCACTTGGGAGGCAGAGGCAGGTGGATCTCTGTGAGTTAAAGGCCAGCCTGGTCTACATAGTGAGTTCCAGGCCAGCTGGGGGTACAGGGAGACCCTGTCTCTAAAAGACCCCCCCCCCAAAAAAAAAGAAATTGAGAGTGGCTGAAGAGATGTAGCTCAGTTGGCTGAATGTTTGCCAGCATGCTGGACTTGATCCCCAGCACCATATAAACCAGGCATGGTGGTACAAACTTGTAATCCTAGCACTTTTGAGGGGGAGGTAGGAGAATTAAGGAATTCAAGGTCATCTTCAGCCACACATCGAGTACCAGGCTAACCTGGGGTACATGAGACCCTGCCTCAAAAAAGGCAAGAAATGTCCATGTATGGTGGTGCACTTGAGAGGGAGAGGCAGGTGGATCTGTATGAATTCAAGGTCAGCCTGGTCAACACAGTAAGCTCCAGGCCAGCCAGGGCTACATATTAAGACCCTGTCTCTAATAAACAATTAAAAACAAAAGAGAAAGAAAGGAAGGAAGGAAACTGAGGTAAGGCAAAGCATAGTGGCATTCGTCTATAATCTCAGCATTGGGAGGTCAAGGTAAAAGGATCGCAAGTTTGAAGCCAGCCTGGGCTACATGTGACCCTGTTTACATACATACATACTGAGGTTAATTGAAGCATAGTGAGCTTAAGTAAAGTGCTGGGCTTAGTATCCTATCCCATTTTTAATGTATCTCTTTAGTACAATGTATTTGAGCTCAATCTTTTTTTCCCCCCACATTTTTAGTCCCTTCTCCCTCTGCAGAAAAAGGAAATTAGAGGCCAAAGGCATGTTTTGTAACATGCTGGGGTTTAAGATGCAACATTCTTTAGTTTTGGTTTAAGTTTCTTTGGAGGCTGAGGACATATGTTGTGAACTTTATTTGTAGTCTTTCTCTCCCTTAATAAGATAATCTTTTATTTAACCAAATGAATTTCAAGCCCACTCTGATACAAGGAAGCAAGTTCTACAATACATTGTTTTACAGATTAAGAAAATAAGATACATGAGGCAGGCTGTTGGTGACCCAAGCTTTTAATCCCAGCACTCTGGAGGCAGAGGCAGTGTACTCTGTGAAATCCAGGTCAGCCTGTACTATGTAGAGAGTTCCAGGCCAGTTGGGGCTACAGGGAGACTCTGTCTCAAACAAACAAACAAACAAACAAAGAAACAAACAAACAAACAACAAAAAAGAAAGTAAGAGACATGAAAGTTTTAGAAACTACAAAGGAATGTCCAAACACTAGTCATAGTACTAATGACAATTAGAGAAAGTTAAGGCTGTAGGAAAAAGTTATCGAAGTGTCATGAGCTACAATAAATCAAAGACTACCTGCCAGAATGATAAATTAAGAACCTAGAGCCAACTCCTTTACCAAGGTCCCCAGAAACTACCCCATGTACTAATAATGGCTACAAATTCACTAGAGTCCAAATGGAACTCTGAATAAGGGCTAATCAAAACTTTTAACTGATAGAGAATTCAGGGCTCCTGGCTACAGTAGACTGCCCAGGTTCCAGGGGAGATGCTAACTACCACCTGGTAAGGTTCTACTTACTGAAGTTCTATTGACTCACTTACACATAGGGTGATCAATGTTGCTTTCTGCTCTTTTAAAAATGCTTTTCCCAACTTTTAATTTGCAATACAAACTGGGAAGAAGTTAAAACTGGGTATCACTATCACCTATTTTCTTTTTAATTATACATACTTTAGATTGCAGACTGAATACAAATATTGATCAGAAGCCAAAACACCCTACACATTTCTTACCAATTCAATCTGTCTTTCAACTGTGTGTTTTAATGCTGTTGCCTCACCACTCACTAAAATAAATATATGAATGAATGGCAATCTTATTCAAATGAGCATCTTTCATCTGTAATTATCTGAAGCAAGAGATTTAAAGATGAGTAGAGTCTGTCTCACCAACTGTATCTTCAGTGCCTGTTCAGTCATGCTTGAATGTCTAGATTCAATTTGTAGAGAAGATGAACACACAATATAGAAAAGGGACGCTTCTGACAGACCACGTCTGAGAAGAACAAAAGGTCAAATAATTCCTTTGCTGATCTGTGAAGTTAAGGAGTCTCTGCACTGGGTGAGAGGGTAAAAGTATGGATCTGGAGTGGATCACTCACACAATTAAGTTCTTGTCAGATGGAAAAACATGACAACTTCCCCCAGGCAAGAGGACAGCCAGATGCAAAGCAACTTATCTCAAACTTTGAAATGAGGATGGGAACTGATGATAACAAAAAACATTTCTAAGTTTTAGAATATATTTTTATTTGAGGTGCTGGAGTTACCATTTCGTAGTGATGCTTGGAAATTTTGGAAAAACGGAATCTCTTTTCTCTCTCATTGGAAACTGGTTTTTCAAGCAAAAAAACTAACTCAACTTCAAATAACCGTTTAATGTATAAGCATTCTAAGAATATTATTATTGGGCTAGAGAAGGGCTAAGAGCGCTATACAATCATGTGGTCTAGAGTTCAGATCCCAGCACCCATGGAATAACCTGGGCAGCCCGACAAAAACTGCCTGTAACTCCAGCTCTGAAGATCCAACAGCCTCCTCCTCCTCCTCCAGCCTCCCTATGTGTGCAGGCACACAAATGTATATGTATACACACACACACACACACACACACACACACACACACACACAGATAACATAGTATCAATGCTTCTGAATTATTAAACCATACTTTTTCCTTGAAAAAACACAAAAGGTTAGGCATGGTAGTATACACCTTTAATCCCAGCACTCCAGAGGTAGAGGCAGGCAGACCTTTGTGAAATCAAGGGCAGCTTGGTCCGCATAGTGAGTTCCAGGACAGCTGTGGCTACAGGGAGACCCTGTCTCAAAACAAAACAAAACAAAAATTAGTGTAGCGCTAGGTGTGGATTTATGTATATGCTTGTAAATCCCAGCACTCAGGAGGCTGAGGCAGGAGGAACAGGATTTTGAAGCCAACCTGGGCTAACATAGTTGAGCTTCAGGCCAGTCCTAGCTGTATAGTGAGACCCTGTCTCAATAACCAAGATAAAACAAAACATTATTAGCATGCCATCTATGTAAAATAATGGGTTGCATCATGATGACATTTTCACACATGTATACAATGTACTTAAATCGTATCAATTCCCTCCTCTTTCCTCCATCTTGTCCCAAGTG